AACCTACAGCACAAGGAAGAAAAAAATACTATGATTAAACATAATAAGACTTCACTTGAAATGTAAAATACTCTGGAACAGATCCTGCCAACTCGCATAAGAATCAGCAAAGAGGAAGCAGCAGCCTCTGCAATAAAGCCCATCACACAGGGAAAACAACACTAGAGAACAAGATGCTATGGCACAGTCCCATCACTGTGCTGCAGAGCATTTTCTGTCTCCTGTTTTTGAAGTGCATGAGGTTCAAGCCTAACTTCTGCTCCCAAAGCAGGACTTGTTGAATTTTGAGTCAGCAGCAGGTCTCTGCTGCCCACGTGAAACACTGTCATCCTTTCACAAACTCTCACATGTGTGAGCTGGCAGCACTGCTGCCTCAAGTGCATTCTGTCAGTTTTATTTTCTAATATTGTCCACCATTACAGCCCTTCCAGAGCTGTGTCCTGGGTGCTTGCACTGCCTCTTAATACTTCCCTCCCTGAAGCTATGAGCACTGAGCATAGTCTTGTTAAAAGGGGAGAAGGGGCTATTTTTATCCCATTCCATGTGAATTCTCTGACTACATTCACTAAGGAACACTCAGTTGGGCACTATGTTACTATCAGAAATTTCAGCTCACCAGTAAAAAGAAGCAGTTTTGGCTCACAACCTCTTGAATGTCTTTGCACTTGAGAGTTAGTGCTGAACCTTTCCTAACCCTTCAGCTGGAGTCTGTACTACATAGTTGTAAACTTGACTTTCAACTTTCAGCAATCATTTGCATGTGTGTATCTTCAAAGAATGGCATTTGATTTGCAACTATGTGTTGTAATGAGAGGCTAATTAACACAAATACAGTTATTAGCAAGTTGCAGACATTTAAAGGACAAAACCAGCAGACCAAAGTCTGTGACGTACTGTGTGACAGGGATGGAGAACCTCAAGGAATGAACTGATACCAGCCAAGGCTCTGCCACCAACTCCATTACCACAGGCAAATCACCAACATTCTGCAACTTGGTTTCCCCTTCTGTAGTGGGATAGTGAGACTCATTTACTTTGCTGGGTAGTTCTCCAGCTTAATTAAATCATTACCTTTAAATTAAAGCACTACAGAAATGCCAGGAAGTAGCATCTGAATTAGAAGGTGGAGGTGACACCCTAATGAAGCAAGACTATTTTCATCGTCAACAGCAGGCACAGTAAAAGGTCACCCATGGTATAATTGTGAAACCACATTCCAAGCTTCTGAAGGCGAGATGACTTTTCCCAAAACTTCATTAAGGAAGAAGAAATGTCCTAGCATCATGGGGTGGATGAAATCCTGCAGTTTCACAGGAAACCTGCAATGGTTTCATTACTTTTGTTTTCCCTTTGTTTGCTATCCTAATAGCAGCAAAATATCGCAGCTTTTGAAAGAATGCTTCTCCACAGGCAACTGTTATCAGTATGATCAAAGACCTATTAAGAAAATTGCAGAGGATCATTTCCCTTCAAGTTGGTAATGCTCAGCACTGATTGAGTTTTCAATCTTTTCTTTACAAAAGCCACAGTAGAGGCATTAGCACTTTTTGTCTGGGACAGCTTCTCCCAAATATCAGAATGTTCCAACGTACGCTGGAAATTTCCAACTCTTTGTAAACATAAGGACCTTATTGAAATACACACTTCTGCTGTGCAGACTCTTTATTTTTAAGTACTGGAAGAAACTTGTTCTGAAACCTTAAGAAACAGGCCAGTCCTCGGTGGAGGCCCATTTTCATCATGTATTCCCCAAAAAAGCAGCAAATTTAGTGTCAGATGTGAAGCTGTGTATGCCCTGTATCTTGGAAGCTGCACTCAAGCTCTGTCCCAGATACCAAAAAGGTATGTCCCATCATAAACTCATTTAGTCCATACTGGGAAGTCATTAAACCCAAACCAGGAAAACAGGCAGCTACTTCTTGTGTGTCGTGCTTGAAAAAAAAAAAGATTACCCAAAACCAACTCATTATACACAATGTTTATGTGTCCAGAGTGTAAACATCAAGAAATAACACATTTACTGTTTGCTTTGTAGCAATGTAAAAGCTTTTACTTTTAAGGGCAAGATGTGCTATAGGTCAGGTCAGCCTAGTTCTTTCTATTACATAAGAATCTCTTACATTGGCTGGATATATGCTATCCAGCTTCTGTGAGGCTATGTTAGAAAACAGTGGAAGTTACTCAGGAAATTGCATCTGGAAATAACTCTGTATATGATTTTCCCCCAGTAAATAAACACATACTTGCATATACTTGTTTATGTATATATGTGTGTGTGTGTGTGTGTCTCTGTGTGTGTGTATACACACTAAATATATACTTCCTTTTTTTTATACTTTTTGGCCAACCAAAATGATTGCAACTAAGTTCTCAAGTAAGACAGAAGATGTACTTGGAGTATTGTGCCCATACAGCTGGATACTCTGTTTGCTTATGTCTGTCTGTCAGCTAATTGCTTTTGAGGCCACTGACCTGCCTTTGACTAAATATGACAGCAGGAAGAAGTCCCAAAGCTTCCAACACTTTCATTTTAAAAAAATGGTTAGGTAGATGCAAGACTCTTATAAGACAAGAAGAGAAAGGCTAATGACAAAGGTCAACTTATTTGACATCAGAGAATCCACAGCAGGATCACCCTGGAGACAAATCCTCAGGAACCAGTTTCCATTGGAACTGCTGCTCTCCTAACACTTGTTTCAAATAGAGCTGGAACCAGAAATTAATTCCAGTTCTCACAACAGTCCACTGGCCTTAGGTAAATCATAACTTCTGATGCTACTTCCCCTGCCATAACATGGCTGGTGTTAAAATCCCTTATTACGTTGCTGCAACAATTCATATTTGAAATGTACTTTGAAGGTCTGGAGAGTTGTATTTACTAATTATTACCTGTCTTGAGACATGAGCTGCATATTCAAAGCGCTAGCTTGATTCATCTGCAAGTGCACATCACATAAGCATGTGGTATGCACTAAGACTCAAAATACAAAAGTAAAGATTACTCTTAGAGAAGACTTTATAATCAAGTCGGTTTTGAGCTCAAAACATATAATTTTTATTACCACAACTCTTCCATTACACTGGATTTAAATTATTTCATGTTTTAGATTAGCACTTTATATAAGACCAGTTTGAAAAGTAAACACCAATTGACAGAAGACAAAAAGCCCATGCAAAGTTTGATTCTGTCCCCAAAGGCAAGTCTGATGTCTGAGATCTCAAACCTTTGATATCAAGCTGAATGTTAATAGATAAGCTCCACAGGGCAGTTATTGAGCACAGTAATACCAGAGCTTGTCCTAGAAATACCAGCAATCACAGCACTGGGTTTGGCAATGCCACATTACAGTAAGCAGGCATTTTTATCTTCTGTTTGGTCAGGCACCTTCCAGCCTCTCCAGAAAAGAAGATGCTTTCGGTTCTTGAAGGCAGAAAAATCAGATGGCAAAGGTTCGGTGGAAGTGCTAGAGCAAATAGGTGAACTAGATGTGATTTTTATTTTTTAAAGAATGCATGATGGGGGGAATAGCTTCCTAAAAAGGAAACTTCCCATGCATTAAAGGTGCTTTGTGGAAAAACTCCATTTAGAGAGGTCTCCATTTGAGTGCAAGGGAGCACACTACAATTTCCTTCAATAATAACAGGTTAACCTTCTACCTTCAAGCTTCCTTCTGTAACAGACTGACTACCAGCCAAGTACTTAATATCTTCCAATACTGGCCTTTACATTTCCTGAAGGAACAAGCCACATCTAAAAAGAAAAACAAAAAAAGCCACAATGGTGCCAGCTAAATTCTCCTTCTAATCCTCCCCATCTCCCTACTCCAGACAAAATAAATACAACCTGGCTAACTTATTCTAACAACAGTGCCTTAGATTTATGTCCCTTGCTCTCTATCACTGCCCTACAAACATATATTATTTTAATGTAGTATAAACAAATATTGGATTTGCTTAACACCACATTGAGTCCTAGTGATTAAAACATATATATGCATAGAGAAAAATTTATACATGCACAAACCCCTTTGTAAGCTCTGAAGATAAAATTATCAGTATTGCCAAACAGAGAATATGCATTATATTCTAATGACATGAGACAGTTGATTACCAACAAGCCTACTTCATTTCTAATTAGAAAAAGTTCAGTGATGATCTTCTTCCCTGCTGTTATTGCCTGACAAGAATAAACAAGGAGTCCTCTCTAGGGATGGCACAGTAAACATCCAAACAGACATTTGTTTGGGAGCTGAGCTTCACAGTAGTAGTAAGTACCGAGGAACATAGTGGTTCACATACTACGGCTGGTCACACATCCACCAGCGCATGATTTTACGTGTTTACCTTCAGAAACCCGAGCTTTGCAAAGTGCATTGCAGCTGCCTAGCCGCTCCTCCTGCGCCCGCTCCTGCCAGCTCTGCTGTCACCTGCTCGGGAGTTCTGCAGGGAAGGGACCCTCCTTGGCACAGGGCTGAAGGGCAGCCGGCTGTTCCAGGCTGGACGCACTCCGCAGAAACAAAGCCAAGGGGATTTGCTTCGCTGCGATTTTCACCCAAAGACACCCCGCGCTCGCATGTCTGGCAGCAGACTGTGTCTCCCGGCCGCAGCTGCACCTGCCGCCCGCAGCGCTCACCCTGTGCCGGGATCGATAGCGCGTCTGCCACCACCCCGAGCGCCCTCCGCTCCCACCGCGCTGCAGACACCGCTCCCTCCCGAATCCCAGCACCGACTCCGCCATCGAGCCCAGACGAACAAAGGGCGCTCCTCTTATTTTCCATTAAATTCACACAAACTAGAGAACAATACCGGAGGGGCCGCACAATGGGCACCGGCCGCGCCGCATCCCTCACGCCATCGCCGCTCTCCAGCCCCGGCACGGCGGGCGAGCCCCGCTGACCCGAGCCCGGGACAACCCTGGGGACGGCGGCGGCTGCACCGTGCCCGGGAAGGGCTGTCCCCGGGCCGCAGGGGATGCCCTCACAGCCGCGGGCTGCGCTCACCTGCCACGGTGTACCGGTCCAGGTAGTTGAGCACGTTGCCCACGCTGAGGATGCCGGCGGCCGCTACCCGGGCCCGGCCGAGGGTCGGCGCCTTGCGGAGGGCGGCGGGGCGGTCGGGGTGCTTGCCGGCCGGCGGGGGGTTCATCCTGCCCGACAGGGTCTGCACCTCGCCCTCGGCGCCCCGGCCGCAGCAGCCCCGCTCGCCGTCCTCCTCCTCCTCCTCGTCGCCAGCTCGGAGCCGCCCGCCGCAGACCGGGCTGCTGCCGGAGGAGCCGTCGCTTTCCAGGCACATCATGGGCTGCGGGAGGGAATCTCGGCGTGCGGGAGCCCGGGCGGGGAGACCGATGGACGGACGGACAGACGGACGGAGAAAGCGAGCGGAGCGCGCTCAGCGCCGCATCCCGCGGTCGCCCCGAGCCTGCCCGGGACAGGCCGGCTCTGACAGCCCGGGCGGGGCCGGGGCGGGGGCCGGGGAAGGCTCCGCCCGCGCCTCGCTCCGCCTCGGCGGCCGTGCGCGCCCCGCCCCGGCGGCCCCGAGGGGTCCGTGCGGCCGGCCCGGGGCGGCGCGGCAGGGCGGCTCCTGAGCCGCCCTTGAGCCGGCCCTAACAGGTGCCTCCTCAGCCGTGCTCGGCACCGGCCCTTCAGCCGTCCGCGCACCAGCCCGCAGGGGTGTCCCCTCAGCCCGTCTCGGGGCGCCTCCTCATCTCCTCAGACCGGCCCCGAGAGCTCTGTCAGCCGCTTCAGGTCGGCACCTCATCTGTTTTCGGTGTGGCCCGGAGGGTGTCCCGCCAGCACCCCAGGTGCCCTGAGGGAATCCCTCAGCCCAGCCAGGAGCGGGTTCTCCCTCAGCCCGCCTCAGCCCGGCTGACTGGCGGTTCCTCAGGAAGCCCAGCTCGGCCCTGAGGGGATCCCCCTCAGCCCGGCTGTGAGGGGATTCTCCCTCAGCTCACCTCAGCCCGGGAGAGGCCGGCTCTTACCTACCCAGCATCACCATAGCAGTGGGTCATGTAATGGATTTCCTTTATCTACCTTTATTATTCTTCAGCACTGCACAACGAGCTTCAAACACACGGGTGGGCGGAAGTGTGGAGGTAGCTGGAAGAAAAACAAACCCACCAAACAAAACCAATGGCTCCTGCACTACCAGCTTGTACCCAACAATGAACTCCATGTGGGTTGTGCAGGCTCACCCTCAGATGTGGATTTTAAGAATAAATCTGTCCAAAAGTTCTCCTTGCCTATCCCGAGTGCCCAGAGCTGTCTCCTGGGCAGGGAAGGGACAGTGTGATGAAGGGTGAGGGTTCGCTGGGATGTGCCACAGACCTCACAACTTCCTGCTTGGCCCCAGATGATTTTCCTACTGCACAAAAGTAGCTTCGGGAACAACACACATCTTCAAAGGAAGTAAAATTGCTCTGGAGTTTCCCCCCCCTGCAAACAGTTCCATCCCTATAAAGTTCCACCTTTGAGCTAAGAACGTCCAAGAAATATTTCATTTCAAAAGGAGAATCTTCAAAGAGATAAAAGTGTTCACAAGCAGAGTGGCTCCAGCCTGTCATACCTGTCATAAAACTACAAAAGGTAACTAAAACCAGAGAAATAAAAAGACTGCTGGAGAACCAACACATGTCAAAACCAGCATGTTACAATTTCAGATTTCTCTCAGTTTGTTGATATTACCTAAGAAAATATGTTGTGATTAAAGCCTTCATCTCTCAGGTATTTAAACAAATCCCCCCTGCCTTTCTCTGAGGAACTCTGAGGAACGCTCTGCGGAGCTGCTTGCAGCACAGCCCGTGTGTGTGCTCAGAATACCTGGCTGTGTCACACCCTGCCCACAAATGACACCAGAAATCTGGTGAGATACCACCAACGTAGCGCTCAGGATGCTACCAGAGGAAAGGGCACTTTTTGGTGAGTCACCTGCAATTCAGGCCTGTTTGTGCAACACCACTGAGGAAAGGAGCAAACACCATTTCTGGTGATACGTGACACTCCCAGACAGTGAGAGGTGACAATTTAACATTGGGAATGGGTCTGCACAGATGTTCCAGAGGTCATTTCAGTAACAGAATCAACATATTTGGTTTAATGATAATGTTCAGGTTAACTTACTGAAGTCTATGGGATAATTTTTTGCTCCATAGCAGCATCTGCAGTTCAGATGTATACGGGAACAGTTATATTGACAAAAGTGCTTATTCATGTCCCCACTAATTTCAGAATTTTAGTGGTGTACCTAATTTGGTTAAGTGATAGTGCTCACATGTTATTTAGCCCAAAAGGAAACACAAAAACAAACAAATAAACAAAAACCAAACCAACCAAAACCAAAAGAAAATGGTAGAACTGAAAAAAAAAAAAAGTAAGAATGTAAGAAAAAGGGAAAAAGAAGTGAAATGGCTTCACAAGGACCATTTGGCTTGCTCAGCAGTGGAGGCAAAACTCATGTTTTTTTTAAACTTATCAGGCACTAAACACAGCTGAAGTGCCACTTCAAGGAGTCCCACAGAGAGCAGCCAAAGTGTCCAGGAGCCCTCAGATACTAATGGTCTGCTCCACAGTCTGTTCTTCTCTCTGCTATTAGACTCTCACTGTCCATTTTCTCGCTGCTTCATCTACCCCAGGCTCTGCAAACAGAAAACAGTGTTCAGAAGATGTCAATGAAATTAAAAGGTAGGGTAAAATTAAAGACCTTAGTCTCTTGAGTCAGATGGTTCTCCTGAAAGCAGCTAAGAAAGCACAGTTTTCTTAAGGAACAGGTGTTTAATTTCATTTTTTTCTTTTCATTTAACCAGTATCAAGCACATAAACACAGCTAACACTGGCGCCATGGTGGCTTAATGCACATTAGAATAACTGCCTAAAAAGACTAGGGAGTGATTTCTCCAAATCTCCTCAATTCAGCAAATCCCAAAGAAAATAAAAAAAAAACATCCCAAGCACTAACTTACTATTAAAGGTCAATATATATGTTCCAAAGTTCAGACAGACTTCTGATGGCGTGGAGCAATGCAGGACCAAGCTGAAGGAACATGCAAGAGCATCTTTTTATTCCTGATGTAGGGAGAAGTTTCAGCTCAGAGACAGATAGAGCACAAAGACACTGATTGGGCAGTGAGTTATGTGGACACACAGGGTCTTGCAGCCAACCCTGTACATGGAAAACTCACAGACAAACACAGATTATGCCAGTGCATCCATGTCACGAGATTTATGTAAAGAGAAAGCAGAGGGAACTGGAAAAAGTGTAGTAGAATGTCTTTAGTGGCAGGATGAATCATATGGCTGAACTGCTTTTAAGAGGAAGGGCATGGATTCTAGCTCAGAGACATTGCTGGGCTTGGCTGTTACAGGGTATTGAGAGACAGGTTGATTACACTGTGCAAGTTCTAACGTGGGGAGAAAAATGCCAGTTTTGAGAGCTCTAATCAAGGGGAGAAAAGCATAGCAAGAACCAGAACAATGCTGAGAGCTGGAGTTAGAAAAATTCTAATGAATCATCTGGTTCATATTTGTTACAGAGTGATTATCCTCTGGAACAAAATACTAAAGGAGTGTATTCTCTATTCCTTTCTGTCCTCTGATCCAGGTTTGATTGCCTTTCTAGAAAGTGCATTATTGAATTCAAGATGAGCTATTGCACTCCCTGCAGAGAGAATGGGCTGTAATTTGATGATACAGGAGCTCAGGCTAGCTGGGTTGAAGTCCTAGCCCTGAAGATAGCAGTTCTTACTCTGCTTACCAAGCACGGATTTTCTGCACTCGCCTCGGTCATTAGATTGATCTGAGACCAGCCCCTAGGAAAGCACATGGCAACAACCTAGTCTTGAAATGGTGACTGCAGAACAGGAGTGTCCCCATAGCCCAGGTGATTAAGATGGACAGCATCCTCCTCGTACTGGGGATGCTGAGTTTTATCTAAAAGCTAGGAATCTCCTTCATACTGGGATCACTGCCAGGAGGTATGTGGATACATTGAAAAGCAAGTCTGAACTCAGCTAGCTCATCTTCCAGCTTCTTCCACATTAAGCATGTCATCTTTGCTCCAGGATTAGCCCTGGCCAGTTCCTGCAGAATCAAGTGAACATTAGTAGGACTGAGAGAATTAGCAGCATTCCTGGTCTCTGAGCCCCTCAGCCTGTACCCCATCCCTGTCTGTCCCAGTGGCCACAAACACAACACTGTCTGGGTGAGACCAGAGCAAACCAGGCACTAGTCCTGTGCTGAGGGAACCTGCAGGCATCTGGCTGCATATTCAGGGAAGAAAGAACAGACTCACTTGTTAGTAGCCCTCTCTCTCCCAGGACAGTCAACAGAGCGTATCCCTTCAGGGATTATTTTCTTCCTTTCAGTATTTTGTTAGTATCTTAAAAGCTTGAAGATGTTTATTTTAGTTTATCCTAGTCTGCACTTATTGATTTTTCCTCATCTCCAGAGTTCTAGAGAGGGTCAGTATGAGCAGAAGTGCTCCTGTTTGACAACAGAACTTATCTTTGAGAAAACAAACCCATATTTGCCAGTGCACCGGTATTAACTTCAGTGACCTAGTCCAGTAGCTGATCCAGGGGCTGTTCCTGGCCTGCAGGAAGCTGATGAGCAGACTCCCACCTTCTCTCCCAAGGGAACATGGCTGTTTGCAGAGAAGAATGGGAAGCTGGACCATGTGTGGAAGGAAAAACCCAGATGATTGATAACCAGGCTGGACCTTACCTAGTTTAAGCAGTTACTAGAGGCTGAGGAACTGGACCATCAAGAGAACATCACATTGCCATTTTGGAAATAATGGAAATTAGCCTAGCTTGTTTCAAATCCAGTTCTTTTCTAAAGTTAGTAAAAATCTTGGGGAAAAAAAACCAACACTTTTTTGTCTTCAGAAAGTCACAAAAATCTCTAAACCAGAACTGTCAAAGGGCTGGAGTGTAATGCTTTCCCAAAATGTACACCAGTGTAGCCACTACCATTATCAGGAGCAGTAACTCCATACAACAGTCTAACATGTTCAGCTGTAAATAATTATGACTCAATGCTATTATTGTCTTTTTCCTGTTTTGCTTTATCTGATTCAAAACCAAGACTCAAATACAGACACACAGAGACCCACAGCTTCACTTAAGAAAAACAGAGCTACACAAAATACCACACTACAGGATCACAAACCCCAGAATTTGGGTTATCCAGATATAAGCCTTGAACTGATGAAATTCCATGAAAAGTCATATCATCAGGTGGTCATCGAGGTTGTGAGGGCAAAACACAGGACAATGACACAACTGTCTCCAGCATTGTGCATTATTGGGCTTCAAACAGATTGCAGCTCTGCAGAAAAAGAATCATAACCCTGCAATTACACACCTGCATTCCCATTATGCCCATGGTTATACCACGGCTTCTTTTTTCTTCACAAATTTCTCAGCTGAATTAACCTGTGTTACTGACACTTGATATTAC